TGCAATTGAGAGATAAAAATATTAAGCAAAAATTCTAATTTTTCTCGTTTTAATTTCAAATTTAAATGTCAAAAAAACTTCGCAAAAGATGGATAGATAAATGAAAATAAAAATGCATATAGAACGAACAAATAATACTCAATCATCAATCAACTCCTAAGAAAAATAATCCCCTTTATTTCTACACTATGGGGATGGTGAGAAGAGATATATTTTACATCCCAGAGGGGCTATAATTGGAGATACCATTGTTTCTGGTACAGAAGTTCCTATAAAAATGGGAAATGCCCTACCTTTGAGTTGAATATGCCTATTTGTGATTAAAAATAACAAGGGACAAATGGAAAGGGGTAAAAATGGTACATGAATATAACTTTGGACAACAACAAAAAACCAACATTGGAACATGTTGAGCGTTCAAATGATGTCCAACTTCATAAATCTACACAAAATATAATTTTGACAAACCTAAATATTTGTTCTATACAGTCTCTAAAATTATCATATTTTTGTAATATAAACCATGGTCAGTTCTACAATTCATTTAAGGTTTTGGAGTACCGAGCTCAACGTATTTTACATTTTTTGTAGTTAGATTAATTTTTGAAGAGAAAAATAAAGAAATCGATGTGTGCCAATCCCTATCGACCGTAACCCTGAATATATCTCTATAAAGATACGAACCCATAGCACGATGTAGTCTACCTTCATAAAAGTCTAGATAATAATATAAAACTTTTATGAAGAATTAATTCTTGTCAACCGTAAAATTAAATCAAGTTTCAATATTGAAAAGTTTTATCTTTTCTAATTCTATATTGACAAAAATCTAAATGTAGAAGTTGAGCTCAAATAGCTATAAATTACTTAAACTCGTGTCCATGTATTGTAAGGAGGATGCACAAGACGGCCAAATCCAGACGGGCACAGTATTAAAGGAAAAAAATTAAAAATAATATCTATATTATTAAATTACAACCACTTATAGTATGGTTGGTACGATAAATTAAACAAAACTGAATATGATAATTTATAACTATTTTAACTTTATTCTCTTCTTCGATTCTACTCGTATTGACCATCATCTCACCAAACGCGTCGACACAAAAGAAGCTTTTAAATTTGATAAGTAATATAAACAATTAGCATTAAAATGATTTGTCTTATCCTTCCAATTTGAAAATCATATGATGAAAGTTGATTAACTTTTGGAAAATGCTGTACAAACTACAAACATACAGTCCTCTCATAAACGTGGGACCGGTTATTATTTTAATCGCGAGCCTCACCTCCTGTACGTGAGAGAGCTGTCAACTATGCTATCAAATGTGCTGTCACCCTCTATATGTGAAAGGGCTGTCAATCATGCTATCAAATGTGTTGTACCTGTAGAATTTCTCTTAATTTTTTTGCTGGAGTCTTCCACTTAGTCTTAATTGTGCTCAGCTGTAATCAATCTTATTCGAATACCTAATAAAGTTTAATGGCGTTATTTGGGCCCCTAAATAGGGGAGCTTTTGGTATATGAGACGACAATAATATTTAACTAAACTAAAATTAATATATAAGCATGTACTTTGTGTCGTGAATGGCGAACACATCCTAGCCCTTCGTGAATTTCGTATTCAAATTAGAATATTTTATACTATTCTAAATTTTATAAAGAATAATTTTAATTTTTATCATTATACTAAATTATCTAGTTGTACAATTTTATTGAAGAACTTGCGTTACTTTTGGACCATTTATTTTTTATAATAAACAATACAGGAGAGATTAATATAAGGCATTTCAAGTGAAAAAATAAATAAATCAAATGCCTATAATATCCCTTAAAATTATTGTTTCATTTTAAAGCTTTTTTCTTTTTCTTTTTCTTTTTTTGGATTGATTCTTTCTAAACGTTGAGATCAAAGTAAAGTATGTTATAGTAACAATTTGTTAGATCTAATTATATTAAGTTAATATTAAGTATATAATTTTATTTACCAATTCAAAAAATTTGTTAATTGTTTGGTTTCAAGTCGTAGATAAATCTTAAATTATTGTTATAAAGAAAAACACTATCACAATTGAAAGATTTTGTAGAAGTTCAATTGTTTTGAAAAATAAACTTTTAAAATTTAGTTAAAAATGAAAGCTTTTATAGTTCAATATAATATAATTTAATAGCATGTTTGGTACAACTTAAAATTTAATTAAAATCAATTTTTTGACCGTTATTTCACTATTCCAATCGTCATTTTTGAATTATTCTCTTACAGGTAGGACCAACTTTATCTTTAACAGTCAAAAAATTAATTAACAAAATCTCTATCAAACAAGCACTAAATTTCAATTACGTGTATTAAAAATAATTGTGGAGTTAGTCATTCATAGAATATTAACATAATAAAGCTAATTTGATAAGGAGTAAGGGGTCCTTCCATTTTCCCCCTTAAAAGATGCCTTAAAGTGAAATGGAAAATAACTAAAAGGGGCGTTTAAAATGAATGACGAAATCTTGTTCAAGTGAGTGGTTAATTTTGTGCGTTAACAAGTAAAAAAGTGTGCGAAATGTATGACAATATCGTATGCCATTAATTAAAACACAGCTATTGTAATAATAATGAATAATAATATTCATCATCATTGAGATTAAGCACCTATCTAAATTACAATTAAACGATATTAATGATAGATTTATTTAAATATAAAGTTACATGACCCCATTTAATTAATTAATCTTTCGAATGTGGTAAACTAAATTGATGATCTAATATCATTGATATTAGATAACATTATTCAATAAAAATAGAATAATATTATTTTACACTAATGGTGCTAAAACACCAATTTAGACAGCAATAATGTGAGATTGAATAACAGGTATTCACTTGATTCCACCTCTCATTTAGTGTTGCATTAGTACTGATATTTTAAATGCTTTAAAATTAAAGCTCTGTTTGAGCTGCATTTTTTAAAAAAAAAAAAAAAAATACATTTTTAAACGGTGATTTAATATCATTTCAATCACACATTATTTAATAAAATAATATTAAACGCAAATTCAAAAATTTTCTCATTTTTTAATCGCACATTCTCATCAATCTACTATTTCAAAATAACGTGACTCAAACACACACTAACATAAAGGAAAAATTGGCTATACGGTGCCTCGGGGCACAGCTCAACTGGTGGATCAATCAACATTGATTTGCTTCCAGTGGGAGGGTGGAGAATTCGATTCCTAGTGGGAACTTGCGGCCAAAAATTTGGTATAGAGCAATTACTGTGGAGGAGGGTCTCTTGTGCGCAAAAGTGTACAGTCAATGGGGGGAACCTGTGATCCAGTTGAGGTATATCCCTCGATTTACCCTCTCTAAGGTTCTAGGGACATGGGTATTGAAGGTCTAGAATTTAGTCTGGTCTAAATTGAGATATCTGGATATAAAAAATAAAAAAGAAATTGGCTATAGGGCTAAAAATGCCTTTTCACATCTGGGTATATGTACGGTGTAATATATTAACCCATAAAAAACACAAGTGGAAGTGGACCTAGGTATTGTTGGTTCTCAGTCTCGTGTGGTGGTGCTGCTAGGTCTCTCTCACACATTCACACAAAGCCCATATTTGAGCCACATTATTTTTATAAGAATACATTTTTAGATAGTGTATTGATAGAAAATGTATGATTAAAAAGCAACGATTAATTTTAGATTTACGTATAATATTATTTTATTAAAAAATGTGTAATTAAGATGATGTCAAATTATTATTTAAAAATATATTTTTTTAAAATAATGTGGGTAAAGGGGGCCATAAAAAATACTCAGCCTCTGATAGTAATAATATTGTGGGCCGAGTCACCAATATTTATTTTTTGAATCGCTTTTAGAGTTTTGAAATTTCGTAACTTGAAAATCTAATTATTTTCGAAACTCTGAAAAAATGACTATATTTGGCACCCATTCGAGCCCATTATTTGAGTAATATGTGTTTTAAAATAGTAAATATTTTGAGAATGTACTGTTAAAGTAGGGAAAAAATTGAATTTATGAATTATTTTACGAAAGAATATAATTGAAAATAAGTTGTGAAAAAGAAAAATGATGCTCAAACATTAGATCTGGGCTTTGTATTTTTATAATAAGTTAAAAGAGACATCCTATTCATTGGAAAACCATTAATTTGATATGAATCGGGTGACTAGAAATCAACTTGTCAATCTTGATATCTTGTATTATCCTTGTTGAGCGAGCGAAATCTACACCAAACTTTTATGACATGTTAAGTTACGGAAATTGAATAGCATGAGCAATATAAAGAATAAATATAAGTTAGAATATTGCTTATTGTATTGTTGAGTTAGACTGAATATATGCGAAAATTCAACAGAGGGATGTGTACTAAATCATTATATATATAGAGAATTAAGCCAAATGAACATAACTTTTGATACAATGGATGACATAGCACTCACATTCGAGGTGGTGGGTCCCCATGAATAAAATAATCTGACTCTCCATGTATGTGTGGTATGTCATCCCCAATGTCAACCTCTATGGTTGAGTAGCATGGTCCATATATATATATATATATATATATATAAAATAAGTTCCAACTCAATAAACAAGGAATTTACCTTAAGATGCATAAAAATGTTCTTGCACTTTTTTCTTTTAGAATCTAAAAAAGGAAAAGCATACAACACTATAAACTTCCAATAATTACTAAAGTCATTAACAATTAAACGTGAATTGGAATTTGATGATGAAATGGTAATTCTAAGTGCACATCACATACTAATTAAATAGTTTAAAACTGAAACCCTAAATAAGAATGAAAATGAACTAAAATAAAGAGGTAGAGGATTTTGATGCTAATAAAAAAAAATACTAGTGTTAAAGTTGGTTCATCCCCAAACATTGAGAACCGAATCTACAATTTATCCAGACATTGAGGACTGAACCTAAAATTTAGCCCTCACTATCAAGAAGTAGCCGCGCGCGCACACACTTTTTCTCTCCACCGATCAGTTTCACACAGTCACCCTCTCAGCACTCTCTATCTAAAAGCGCCACTTTCTTCTCAACGTTTTCTCTCACTGGTCCTCATGCGCTCAACATTTTCGTTCTAACTGAAATCCTCCTTAGCAGACACCAGTACCACTGCGTTTACATTCTCCATCTAAAGTCACAAACTTTCTCTCACTAAAACACCACCGGTACAATCTGTTGTACGTATCAACTCACACTTGTGATTTGTTAAGATTTTTGTTTTGTGGGATTTTGGAAAATGCTGATAATTGTGGCTTGCTGCTCGTATTTCTCTTTCTGAAGTTTAGGAGATTATATAAGGAACTACGTTGTTTTGGTCTGTTTTATTGAGCATTGAGTGTGTGTTTTGAGGTCTTGTTGGGGGGAAAATGGAAAAAAAACAGGGGTTTTTCTCAGCGTTAAAGGAAGAGGTGGTAAGGGGGTTATCGCCGGGGAGGTCACGGGTGAAGAGCTCGAGTCGGAGCGGGTCTCCCATAACGGCTTTTCTTCGGAGGAAGAAGAGTGGTGGTAATAGTAATTATGCGGAAACTGTGATAGCGAGATCGGGGAGCCTGAGGCCAGTAGGGGAGACACTAACGCCGCTGATGGAGGGTCCGGATCCGGACGGCGGAGACATCGGAGATTCGAAGCGGCAAGGGTCGGGGCTCGGGCAATGGGTTCGCGGACAGCTAACTCGGAACCCATCGGTTCCAGTAGGGGCGGCGGGTTCCAATGGGAATGGACACAACAAGAGGTCTGATCTTAGACTATTGCTTGGGGTCATGGGTGCCCCTCTGGCCCCGGTTCACGTTAGCACCTCTGACCCACTGCCTCATTTGAGCATCAAAGACACTCCTATTGTACGTCCTTCCCTCTCCACACACACACTCACAAATCTGAATTATTCTTGGAAGTGTATAGTTTGCTATAATTGTGATGATTGGAGTGAGTTGATTGGAATTGACTGAATTCTTCATTATGCATGAATTTCAATTGATTAACTACTGAAAAAGTGAAGCAAGGAGTTGAATTTTAAGCAGAAAAATATAAGGTATAGTATTAGGTTCAGGTAATTTCTTAATGGTAATGGTTATAGAAAATTTTGATGTGGTGGTTGTGTCTGATTTATGTTTATTAGAAAGTACTGGGCTCCTTTTCACCCAGGAAAAATTCTCAATTTTATTATCTGATGTGGGTTTCTGATTTTGTAGGAAACTTCGTCAGCCCAGTACATATTGCAACAGTATACAGCTGCATCAGGAGGCCAAAAGCTCCAGAATTCAATTAAGAATGCTTATGCAATGGGAAAGTTGAAGATGGTAGCTTCAGAGTTTGAAACTGCGACAAAGGTAGTGAAGAACAGGAATGTGGCTAGAGCTGCAGAGTCTGGTGGGTTTGTTCTCTGGCAGATGAATCCTGACATGTGGTATGTGGAGCTTGCAGTTGGGGGAAGCAAAGTCCACGCTGGCTGCAACGGCAAACTCGTCTGGAGACATACACCCTGGCTTGGTGCACACACTGCAAAGGGGCCAGTTAGGCCTTTGCGCCGTGCTCTTCAGGTTAAGATGCGCTCGAATCATTTATGATTCTCTCTGTGAAATTTTTTCTTTGCTGGCCTGATCTTGTGTAGTCTTGGGTAATGTACTTTGCAGGGTCTTGATCCAAGAACCACTGCCAGCATGTTTTCCAATGCCATTTGCATTGGTGAGAAGAAGATCAATGGAGATGACTGCTTCATTCTGAAGCTCTCTGCTGATCCACAAACATTGGGAGCCAGGAGTGAGGGACCAGCTGAGATCATAAGGCATGTCTTGTTTGGCTACTTCAGCCAGAAGACGGGACTTCTTGTTCACATGGAGGATTCGCATCTCACCCGCATCCAATCTGACGGAGGTGATGCAGTATACTGGGAGACGACCATCAATTCGTACCTAGATGATTACCGGTCCGTGGAAGGAATCATGATTGCCCACTCTGGTCGATCCATTGTTACACTTTTCCGGTTTGGAGAGATGGCAATGAGCCATACAAAAACAAGGATGGAAGAAGCTTGGACAATCGAAGAGGTCGCTTTCAACATTCCTGGCCTATCAATGGACTGTTTTATTCCACCAGCTGACCTGAGATCGGGATCCATCAGTGAAGCATGCGAACTCCCTCAGGATGAAAGGGGAAAGTCAGCAATTGCCCTCACAGCTTCCCGAGCTAAGGTTGCAGCAGTGGAAAGAACTCAAGATGGTAGCATTGATAGCGTCATCTGGAAGGTGGAAGTCTAACCAAGTCGGACCAACTTACAGCAATTTGTTTATACTCGGTAGGCAGTCACTTATCGACTAACATAGTAGAAATTGCAAATTAGGAACTCAACTGATTGAGGAATTTAATCATTCAAAGATTCCTGCCGAGCTCGATGATTATATGAGTCCAACTAAGGGGTTGGAGCTCTTTTTTCGTAGAAACAGATCAAGGAGATGGACGTTAACTTTTAGTAACTCTCAGAGTTGGATGAAGGTGGTGAAGCTTAAGTATTAGTATTAGCCAAACCATAACCTTTTTTTTTTCTTGTTTTAAGTTATTCTACTAACTTCTTTCCTGCCTAAATGTATACAAATATGGCAGTTAGTAGAGGAAACACTGCATCATGGGTTTGATGGTAGTGTTTCAGTTCTTTAGATTTAATTTGTGTGCCATTTTTTTTCCTTATGTTTGTTTGATTGTTCAAGTTTTTTCATGGGATTTTCTGGAGCTTAGGGGAAAAGGCAATATAGAAGAGAAAGTCTTTGTTAAGTTAGTTTTGCTACCAAATTCATATCTGAATGGTCTTATGGTTGTAATTGGTTTCTTGTCAGCAATTTGAAGAAAATATATGGTCTAAATCTCTTCCTTTAATGTTATTTGTGTATATCTCATCATCTCGAATGCTAATGACTATATCGTTGAATGATAGTTTCGTGTAAGGGAACTTTCTTGAATACACAATAATTTTACACAAGTCGATCTTGAGTCACGAATGAAAAATGTTATTCATCACTAATGTCGATGAAAATTGTATTCGTGAAAGTGAAATCTTCTAGGACTAGTAGATATGGACGCGAGTTGGACGAAGGATATTAGCTGACATGTGCAAAGTTGATCGATGACGTCACCTAATTGTGTAGGAAAAGCATCTAGGGCAAGTTGGAAATGGCTTTAGAAATGTGGGTGCATTGCTCATTGTGCCTTTTTGAGAAGGGAAATCTTTTGAAAATCCTTTGCTGACCGTTGAACCAAAAACCAATAAAAAAGGAGTAATGTGGGGTGCGGTTTAGAAATGAGATTGCATCGTTTGGGTCAAAAGCGTGTTAGAGAAAATATGATTGCACCAAAGTGCACGGCTCTAATCGTCATTTCAATCTTATCCTTATCCATGTGCCTTTGTTCCCTTCCCACTTTACCAGCTTTTGCTCTCTCTTTGCCACCCTATTCCCATTATTGGGTATGAGTTACAATTAAGCATAAAAAGGTTTGTTCATAAGTAAATAAGAAATGATGTACCAGTAACTATGATATATCATATTAATTAATTTATGGATCATTTGATGATAAGTTACTAGAAAGTTAAAAGTCAAAATGAACAATTAATTTTTATCAGACATTTCAAGGAATTCATATTTTTTTTAACCACGTTTTCATCATTTTTTAATCAAAATTTACTAAATTTTTTATTGAAAACTTGAATCTAACATCAACGAACCTTGGAAAGAGCCAGTACGAGGGGATTTACAAGCCACACTGATGGGCCAATCGAAAAATATAGAGCAACTGCTTTCTCTAAGATATTGAACGGTTGAAGTATCCCATAGAAGTGCCAAATTATGTTTTATCTCGGGTGGGCCTATCTTGGATCAACATGAAGACACTACTTGTGCTCGTCAATTTTGGTCAATTTTACAAAGATGAGTATAGCGCGATATTTGATGTTAGCTAAGTAATTTATTTATTTATGTCTTGTCAAAATCAACATTATTTTTATATTTGCACTCTGTTTAGGAGTGATTTTTTGGCCCAAAAAATTAATTTTTTGATCGTTATTTCACTATTCCGATCGTTATATTTGACTTCTTCTCTCACAGGTGGACCTTACTTTTCTCCTAACTGTAAAAAAATCAATTCTCAAAATCACTCCTAATCAGGCTCTTGATAAGTAATGTATAGCTTGATTTTATTTTTTTTGAAATGAAAGTATGATAAAACTATATACATATATTGCCTATTTTATTATCATAATGGCGTTATTTACTATCATTTAACTAGACATTTAGGCCATGTTTCATAGGGGTGGGAATTCCATGGAAAATGGAATTTAAATTTTATTTCCCACTTTTGCCATGTTTGATGCCAATTTTTTTTTCATGGAATTGGTTTTCCGCCCACCCTTGCCACATCAGCATTTTCCTTGTTTTCCTTGAATTTCAATTCTCACATAAGTGGTAGGAATTCGTTTTCTAGGCTTTTTTCTTTTTCTTTTTTTTTTTAATTTATAGTTGAAACAAATTCTAGGAGCAATTGTAAAAGAAGATATCTCTTAAATTGACAATTTTCATATAAAATAAAGTCAAACGAACACCAAAGATAGATGATTTCTGATTTTTTTTAGCAATAGAAACAAATTCCATCCCCAATACCAGTAAGTTCTATATCTTTAATTGACAATTTTCATTTAAAACAAAGTCAAACGAACACTAAAAAATACTTTTATTTCAACATTTTTCACGTGAAAAATTAAACTAATCAAGCACAATAATTGACAATTTTCAATAAAACAATTTTTAGGCAATTTATTTCCATGAAATTCATTTTTTTTTCCACCAAAATTTCATCTTTGAAATCAAACTGACCGGAGTTTGTCGGATCAACTTCCACATTATCATTAAGTCAAAATGCCCCATTTATGGGGGAAGTATGCATTAACTTTTTAGGCTATGGAACGTACATTCAAGCATAATTACGAATGGTTTAAAGTGAATTTCCGAATTTATTAGGTAGACCCCAGAAGTCAATATCAAATTTGATGACTTTAACAACTACCTTACCAACTACATTTCCATTTTTCTTATTGAAATACAAAACTATGAACTTTCTAATGCAGAACGTACTGTTATTTGAATAATTTTTAGAAGTATTTTCTATATACGTGATTATCTTGAATGTACCAAGGAAATTCTTCGATTTCTTCTAAAAGTAGATGACTGTTTTTCAATAGTCGAGGACGTCGAGAAATATCCAGAATGACATTTCGAGAATCGATCTCATTCTATCTCCGTTCCTTCCTTTTGAACTTTGAAGAAAAAGAAAGAAAGAAGGGTACCCGATGCTTCTCCATGTTCAACAAGATGTGCCAACCTTGGAATTCTTTACTCCTAACCCCACGAGGTTCCGAGACGGAACTTAACCCGAGTCTGAATTAAGAACGACGAGGTTTTATTTTTCAATAGAAAGGATAAACTCTTGTTTCTTCAATCATTCGTTTAATAACTCGTGTTTATGTATCGAAGAAAGAAGAACAAACAGATCTTGTAAGATTCTCAAGAAAATTTCGACTTTTTTCTTATTAATGTCACATTCGATATTGACAAATATCTAGACATGATCTCATGGTTGGACATGGCATCTCGAGTGTTAGTACGTCCTATTACATTTCATTATTGACAAGTATATTTTTGGGGTTAAAAAAGAAAAGAAAAGAAAAAGACATCTAATATTGTTTGGTCTAGCATTAAGCCCATGTTCCATCTACTTCCCTAGGTTTGGATGGCAATTTTGGATTATAATGTTGACTTCACTTGTATATGTCTCTCAACAAACATGGTCTCATTCAATTATTTTATGCAATCATTAACAATGAAATCTCAGCTTAAGGAAATGTTTTTTTAAAGGCCAAGCCACTCATTTGCAAATGGTGGTCCTTATTTTAAATTTATTTTATAGATATAACGGATAAATATTTTGAATTTTGAGTTCAACTATAGAAATTTCACATGCAAACTTTTAATTGAAAAATAAATATTGTCTACATGTGAAGGGATATATACAACGAGCACATTTCAAATTATTGGGAATCTTGGTTTGACTTTCTTCAAAATTAATCATTTTTTGAGCCTGTTTGAGCCCCTTTTTTTCGACAAAAATGCATTTTGAAATATTGATTTGACGGAGAATGTGTAGTTCAAAAATAAGAAAAAATATTAGATTTACGTGTAATATTATTTTATTGAAAAATGTGTGGTTGAAAAAAATAGAAACTATATTTTAAAAAAATAAGGAGGATCAAACAATTTAATACAAAATTTAGGAATTTTAGAAAGCGTTTTCAATGCGCAACAATACTAGCATTTTGATGCATGTTTAGGACGTCAAGTTAAATCGAACAAAATTGTGTTCTTGTTTTGTCAAATTTGTGTCGAGACTTGAGTCTAATATTTTAAAAATGTTAAGATCATATTTAGTAGACTAGATTGAGAAAGAGTCGACATGCGTGACATTATATAAACTTTTAGTATGCCAGACGGAATACGACAAATTTAGTATACAAAAATTTCTCTCACATCTCTATTGTCATTCGGTTGTCCAATAAAGGCAAATTTAGTATACTCGAATAAATAACATTCAATATGTCAACGTATAAATTACTGTTAGTCACACCAATCGTATTCTTAATCTTATCAAACTGTGTTAATCTAGTACGATGTACCAAATGTTACTATAAATTCTAAGGGAAACGTAAATGTTAGTGTAAAAAGTGTCGGCAGAGGAAGTTTCTCTCTTAGGTTATCTAAGGATTGGTGGCATATTTATGAATGTACCAGTGAGTAACCCTACTGTATTCTTCCATGCCCTCCTCGCTGCTCTCAAAAATGTACCACAATTCCATGTAAGGGCATTTACTGCATCCATGTTTGTTATACAAAGAACCCCACCCACCCCCACTCCGACACCCCCACGTGCATCTCTACACTGGGGTTACAAATAGTATTTATTGACATCTTGTTATTTATGGGAGGGTTGGACTTGGACTAACTAGCAAAGAGTTTTAAATGATCGACTTTGACTAAAAAAATTATAGTTACTCCGTCACATTTATATAAGTTGAGTTTCCTTGTTTTCTTGTCTTAATTATATAGTTTTGTTTCTTTATTGAAAATGTTTTGTCTTGTTCATTTTCTAATATACTCTTATTTAATTTGTCAATATATAATCAATTTTCTCACTTATTCTTGAAATTGTACAAATATAAATAAAGATAGACTGAAAGTTTTTGACAAAAAATTATTTTTCAACAACATTAAATAATATTTCTTATTCCATGGAAAAAACAAAATCAACCTATATAAATGGAATGGAGTGAGTATTTGATATGTGGTAGAATCAAATTATATGACCGAATTCTTACCGTGTCAGTGACCTAATTCTGAATCAGATTTGAGAGTTTGGACCGTTTATTTATTTTAATTTTTGGTTTTCCTAAATTAACCAAGAAAACCCAAAAAAATAAAAATAAAAAAAAAACTCATTGGGCCCATTGGCCCGTCTATTGTCGGGCTTCATCCGTCTAAAGACGAGTTGGACCGCCCGTTTTACATCTGGGGCCTGGGCACCACTTGACTTATTTATATCTCTCAACAAACATGGTCTCCTTCAATTATTTTATGCGATTATTAACAATGAAATCTCAGCTTAACGAAATGAATTTTTTTAGGGCCAACTTCAAGCCACTCATTTGCAAATGGCGGTCTTTATTTTAAATAAGGTGTTCAAAGGGATATAACGGATAAATATTTTGAATTTCAAGTTTAACTATAGAAATTTCACATGCAAACTTTTAATTGAAAAATATATATTGTCTACACGTG